AGAACAAAAAAACGACAGCAACTTGTCTGTTCCCCTTCCCCCAATTCCCCAGCACTGTTCCCATCCCCCCAATTCCCCAATAAAAAATCTAAAAAAAAAATCATTATACTTGCTTTATCACCTGTCTATTCATCTCTCTCTCCCTGTATCCATCTATCAATTAATCTTTTTGGTTCATTTTAAAGTGCAATGCAGGTATGAGTACATGTCCCCCTAAAAAACTTCAACACTTGTATCCTTAAGTACAGTTCAATATTTGTTTACAGATTTTTTGTTTTGAGATAAAATTTATGTACAGTGATGTTAAAATATTAAATATTCACTTGCTTAGTTTATTATTAACTGTATGAATACACGTATGTAACCCAGATCCCTAACAAGGCGGAATGTTACCATCATTGCAGACAGTACTCTCATACCCGTTCCTGGTCCAATCCTGCTCACACACCCCAGAGGAAACCAGCCTTGATTTTTTTACCACTGTGGATTAGTTTTGCCTGTCCTAGAAATTCATACCATAGAATCAATTCTTTTGTGAATAAACACCCAGCTGTTTCCAGTTTGGAGTTATTATGAATAAAGCTGCCATGAACATTCATGTGAAAGTATTTTTGTAGATAATGTGTTTTCATTTCACTCAGGTAAATACCTAAGAGTGGAACTTCTGGCTCCTAGAGTAGGTGAGTGTTTAGTTTCATGAGTAACTGCAGGAACTTTGCCTAAAATAGTTGTTCCATCTTATACCTTCATCAACAATGTATGAGAATTGCAGCTGCCCCACCTCCTGGCCAACACTTGATGTTTTCAGTCTAGTTCATTTTAGCCATTATGGTGGGTATCTCCTTGGGATTTTAATTTACATTGTTTGTGGACTGATGACATTGAGCAGCTCTCCACGTTTCTATTGTCCATTCATATCTTCTCTTGTGAAGCATATGATGAAATCTTTTGCCCTTTTTTCATTGGCTTGTCAGTTTTGCTGAGTTGTAGGAGTTCTTTATACACCCTGGTCACCAGCTCTCACCTGATATATATTTTAGGAATATTATCTTCCAGTCTGTGTCTTACCTATTAAGTTTTCTTTTTGTTTTTTAAGATTTTATTGGTAATTGGGGAAGGGGAACAGCCAAGTTGTTGTCCTTCAACCTTAGTTGTGGAGGGAGCAGCTAGCTCAGCTCTAAGTTCAGTCGCCATCTGGCAACCTGTCAGCAGCTTGCAGCAGCTCAGCTCAAGGTGCCGAGTTCAGTCTTACTTGTGGGTAGGCACAGCCCACCATCCATGCGGGAGTCGAACCGGAAACCTTGTTGCTAAGAGTGCATGCTCTAACTACTGAGCCATCCTGCCATCTGTCGGCAGCTCAGGGCAGCTCACCTCAAGGTGCCCTGTTCAATCTTAGTTGCAGGTGGGCATAACCCACCATCCCATGTGGGAATTGAACCAGCAACTTGTTGTTAGGAGCACGTGCTCTCACCAGCTGAGCCATCCTGACACCTGTTGGCAGCTCAGCAGCAGCTCAGCTCTGGCGCAGCTCACTGGCCCATGTGGGAATCGAACCGGGGACCCTGTTGCTCAGAGCTCATTCTCTCAACCAACTGACCACTCGGCCTGTCCCCTATTTAGTTTTTAACAATGTTTTGGTGAGCTGAAATTTTTAATTTTAAGATTGTAATTGATCAGATTTCTTTCAATGACCATTGTTTGTGTGACATATATAAAAATCTGTGACTACCTCCATGACATGATATTCTCCTACATTTTCTAAAGGTGTTTTGGTTTTATCTTTAACATTTAAGTTTGTGATCTCTCTCAAATTATTTTCTTCTATGTCGTGAGGTAGGGCCAGAAGTTGGTATTTTTTACATATGGATATCCAGGTGTTATAGCACCATTTGTTTAAAAGACCCCCCTTTTCCCCCATTGGACTACCTTTGCAACTCTGTCAAAAATCACATAACCATATAGATGTGCATTTGTTTCTGGCTCTATTTGGTTCCATTATCTATTTGTAGATTCCTTATGATGGTTCCACACTGTCTTGGCTACTGCAGGTTTATAGTAATCCTTGAAGTCAGGTAATATGTTTGCCAAGTTTGTCCTTTTCCAAGATTATTTTGGATATTCTAGATCAGGGGTCCACAAACTTTTCTGTAAAGGGCCAGATAGTAAACATTTTAGGCTTCGTGGGCCAGATAGCCTCTATGGCAACTGCTCAGTACTATTGTGCAAGCACAACAGCAGCCAGAGATGATACATAAATGAATGTGTGTGACTATGTTCCAGTAAGACATTATTTACAAAACAGGCAGTGAGCTGGATTTGGCCCACAACTCTTGGAAAATACTATCTTTTTTTTTTAATTTTACAATGCTATCAAAACATAACCTGATCTTCTATATATTTTGTGAATTTTATTCCTAAGTATTTTTAGGTTTCTTGGGACTTTTCTATGGAGACAATCATATTCTATCAGAGAAGTTTCCTGGTGTGGCCAGGCAGGAGCTGGTCTAGAGTTCTGAGCACACGGGGGATTACATCACAGAAATAGGGACTCCATCAGAGTTGCTGAGCACACAATAGGCCACTCTCCCGGAGAGCAGGCAAGGAAGTAGGTGATCAGCTGCTGCTGTGAGTGTGCAAAGGAAGCCTGGGCGTCAGTGACAGCACAAGGACTTCAGAGCACGTAGATTCCACGAGATGAGAGTGATGTATTGGAGCTTGCAGAATGACTGTTCGGTGTATGACTCTGGAACACAGGAGGCTGCACGAGGTCATGCAGGGGCTTACCCAAGGAGTCCAGACAGACAGCTGCATCTAGTGCCATGCAGGGGCTCTGGATCACCGTGTTGAGAGGGTTGTGGAAAGGTCATCACCAGGCTCAGACTGCAAGGTCGCATAGGGACTGAGTGCTGGGCGCCAGGGCTGGCAATGTCCTCACACCTAAACAGTAGAGCCCTGGCCTAGGACAGAAATAGCAAGAGAACCGCTTTCTCCTGCAGTGTCCCTCCTGCGCCCTCTACTGAGAAAGTTGAATACTTTCAGGAATTTGTTGAAATGCTTACAGGAATTCTTATGTGGAGAACATGTATGTGAGGAAGCATTTGGAACTGAGAAGCAACAAATTGGTAATTGACACATATGCATAACTACTTTCAGCTTAATAATATCATGTTGGGGAATTTTGCATCTGGGACCAAGAGGGATATTGGTACCCAATTTTCTTTTTCTTTTTTCTTTTTCTTTTTTGTAATAAGTTTGCCACATTTTGGTATTGCACTGACTTTGTAAAACTCTGCTTTACAAAAGAGTTTGTGGAATATTACAATATTTCCACCTTAAATATTTGCAAGAATTTACCAGGGAAACTTGTGGAGACAGAGTTTACTTTATGCGAGGGTTTTGGATATTAAATTTATTTTTTCCATAGATATAGATCTAATATGATTTTCTGTTTCCTCTTTAGTGGATCTTTCTAACATTTGTACATTGTATCTAAGTTGTCAAACTTGTAGTCATAAAGTCATTCATAACATTCTCTTATTATTTTCATAATGCCTATAGTCTCTATAGTGACATCAGATTCTTGGTATTGGTAATTTGTGACCTTTTTTTCTCTAGCTAAGATTTTATCAATTTTGTTGTTCATTTCAAAGAGCCCCCTTATTGCTTTGTTAATTATCTCCATTATTTGTTTCTATTTTATTGGTTTTTTGTTCTTATCATTTTTCCCTTATTTTACATACTTTTAATTTATTCTCATTTTTCTAGTTCTGTAAGGTAGCACTGTAGGTCACTGATTTAATGACATTTAGTGTTTTCTAATATAATAATTTAAAGCTATATTTTTGCCTCTAAGCCCTTTTAGCTGTATCCCACAAATATTGATATGTTTTATTTTCATGGTCATTAAGTACAAAATAT